TTTGAATGACGACTTAAGAACATAATTTATGATAGTCTAATATTACATTAATTTAACTATAATTGTTACAGCTGATGCACCCCACACTATCACCATCATGACTGTATTAAACTATTAAAAGAACAATTAAAATATATCATGTCTCAACCACGGTAGTATAAATCTGCCGATCATGAAAACTAAAGCTGACATGATTGGCCTATCTATAACATGATCCTGAACACAAAAAAGGCTGATATGTATGCATTTTATTACCTAGACCAAGGAACATGAACCAGCCAATGCTCGATCCACAAGAAACTGAACAATGAAATGAGTGCTATTATTTGTCACCATGTTTAGATCACCAATTTCTTCAAACATCAAGGAAAATGAGTGGCAGGCAAGAGGCTTAAGCATTTTCTTCCGAGGCACTATTGTTATATCTTTCTAAAATTTAAGAGTCACAAGCAAAGCAACCAGTGAAATTAGAGAAGAAATTCTATTTTTAGCAGTGATCTTCGTCTGGTGACACATATAATGCTTCTTGAAGATAAATGAAGAGTATTGATCTTTTAATGAACAAGATGGGTAAGAATTAGAAGACATGTATTAAAAAGCAGAAACTGAACCAACCGAAGAGAAAAGTATTCAAGCTTTTGGTAGGCATGTGCTCATAAACTATCAACATTTCTCTCCTTCAATACAGCACCCCAAGAGACTAACAAGATTCCCTTGAGCCTTGATATCATTATGCTGTCATTCTTGAACTCTTCAACGCCTTCTCGTGAGCATCTTTTGCACTGCTATCTCCTGTCCATCTTGTAGATTTCCTTATGTATCCATAAAATTTCTCAATCAACCAATACATACACAAAGTCCACGTCATATGTGCACATAAAATACTTAAGAAAAAAATGAATTACCTTAAAAACTAGTCCAAATCCTCCTTCCCCAAGTTTACATTTTATCCTGAAGTTATTGGTAGCAGCTACTATTTGTCGAAATCAAGAACTGGTAGCTCGTATGTATCATATTGCTCTACTGGGTTCAGTGGGGTGTCTCTGAAGTCTTTAATGTATCATCCAAACCAAAGCTCTTGAGTTTCTTTTCCCTCTTTCCTGATATTGAGATCGTACCATGACAATTTATTAAATTACTTTAACTTCCTTCACGGCTTCAAGGTTATCAAGGATAGGAGTAATATTTACAAACCAATAAAATTAAAACTCCCTTTTTTTAAGGCAAATTGATACATGTATATGGAGAAGTGGCGACTAAACAAATTTCATTTCGTTGTCAAAACTATTAGCCCTATTAGAACAACAGAATCAAGAATCAAGAATGAAATCTCATTAGGAGGAACAAAATGTCATTATACATAGGTGCCATGTTCAAGTGTTCAAACAAGACAAGTTCTGCCCTAGAAGAAAGGCATTCTCTACATATGAAAGTTCAAACAGAGGATTGCCACAAACATATGATATAAATCACCATTTGCTCATATATAATTAATATATAAAAAAAAACCATAAGGTATCCAAAAATAATCTACAACATGAAAAAGAGCATAATAAACATCTTATGATCTCCAGTTTGATCAGGTGTATAAGAAATCCCATATCCCATTCTCCTCTGCCAATCAAATCACACTAAAAATAATAGAACCTTAAATATGTTCAAAACACAAATAAAAGACCCTAGTTAGATAACCAAAACACAAAGCAAAGCACTAATTCAACAGAAACAATAACAATTCATGATAACCAAACACACACACATGCCTAATTTATACTAAACTGAAGAAAAGAAACAAAAATGGAGCCAAAATTAAATTGAAGGATACAGGCATTAATGAACTAAATGAACATAAAATTAAATGAAAATTACAAACTAGAATGAGTAAAAAATTACAAATTCACATTTTTGGGAGAAGGATTGAGCAGTGTTAACTCTCATCAAAGATCTCGTGCAAAACGAGTGAGAGAAAAATTCATGAAACACCAATCAACAAACCCTAACTCACTCTGCTATTACTCCATCTTCTATCAATTTGTAGGACACTCAAAAATCCCCAAATTCATCTACTCAAAATCAATAGTGATTCAATGCTTAACACACACACACACATATGCACATTTTGAGAGTATAGATTTGAAGCAAAATTGCAAACCAAAGAAACATGAGATTGCTAGAGTCGAAGAGTTCAAGATCTTAAGAAAGTTGAGGACGACTACTTCAATTCTTGCTCGAACCTTAACAGAATAAATTCAATTTCAATTTTGAAATTCACATCTACATAATATATAGAGGTACATATACAAGTGTGTTTACCTGAAGATGATGAAGGATATCAGCATACCAGAGCTGCTAATCTGAGAAGAACATCAAGGAGAGAAACCACAAGAGAGAGAGAGAGGACGAGATTGAGAGGCCAGAGAGATTCATACTGAGAGAGAGAGAGAGAGAGAGAGAGAGAGAGAGAATGATCAAGATTTGACCAAAAGGTGACTTTTTAAATTGCTAATCCTGAACAAACCGCTCGAGCGATGAAACTTGCGCTCGAGTGTCAAAGACAAAAGACCACTCAAGCGATGAAACTTTCGTTAAAGCACAAAACGCAAACTTCCAGAAGTTCAAATCTGTAAAAGTACTAGATGACATGGAAGACCACTCAGGCAAACAACGCATCGCTCGAGCAATGAAGAAGAAAAACTTACAAGTTATTACAATTACTTTATTTGTTTCCTTCACACAAAAAAGGCCCAATGGGAGGGGCTTTTCACCAAAAATCCCAAAATTCTATGCATGTGTACCATATGCCCATAGTTGTGACATATGTGGTATTTGGTTATGACTTATTGAAGTGTTAGGTCTCATTTGGAAACATGTTATTTTAGTAACTTTTTGACTTTTTACAAAAAGATGTCTAGAAAAGTAAAGAGAGTGATGTGACAACTTATAGTGACTTTTTGGCTAAAATGTAAAGTTGACAAATGAGGCCTTAGTTATGACTTGATTATGATTTGATTGTACATATTGTGGTGTTAGTTATGATTCATTATGATGTTAGGTAAGACATTATTTTAGTTATTATCTAAAAGCTCTTTGATTATACTTTATATGGTATTTGATTATAACTTCTTCTTCATCTTTTTTTTTTTTTTTTTTTGGCTCCCAAAGGATTGAGTTATAACATTTGTGGTAATTACTCCCACAAATGTCATAACTTTTTTTTTTTAATTAGCAAAAAGAAAGCTTTGTTGATGAAAACAACATATAAAGCATATGGAAATACATTAAAAAAGATGAGGCAAGAGCAAAAAATATCAAAGTGAACCCTCCTAATACCAACTAGTTTGGCACTAAGAAGGACAACCTATCATTTGCTAGCTCAATCCAAAGTTGGTGAAAAGACCAACAAGACAAAAAAAGAGAGAACAAGAGAACTAACTGCCAAAAGTGCAATAATAGCAGAACATGAACTAATCCAACAAACAACAAGACACCACATAATAGCAAGACAACAACAATAACCAACTTGCACGTGACAACATGAACATCAACAAAAACCACAACCCTCAAATGCACCTTCTAATCTGGTTCAGGTTCGAAACAAAATCATGGATGGAATATAAATAACCAAAAGAGTGGCTCTTCAACCAAACTGCTATTTTAACCTTGATAAGCTCACTGATCTCCATGAAGTTAGGTTCGGCACTATTGAACACACAATCATTCTTGAGCTTCCAAATTAACCACTGAACAGCAAGTGGGATGGCATTCTAGATTTGTAATTCCTTCTTGATTTTTGTGCCAAGCCACCAATCAAATAAATCCACAACAGAGCCTGGGCAATCCAAAACAGACCCCACCAATCAATGATATCAAACCAAATTTTCCTTCTAAAGGCACAAAGAAGCAAAACATGATTAATGGACTCAGGTTCAACTTTGTAAAAGATACACTAAGTGACATCCTCCCCTCTGAGAACACCAATATGATGATGGAACACAAATGTTTTTACACGACCTTTCCAAACCAGCCACGAGAAGAATTGGACTTTTGGTGGTGAAATGTTGTTCCAAATGAATCTGGGCATAGACAGATTTGGTCCTTCGTTGGACTGCCACCAGCAGAATAAATCCTTTGATTTGAAGACACCTTGAGATGAAGCTTTCCATCTCATGCTATCCACCATCCCATGCCTTAATGATGGCCCATCTCCCAATAAAACTTGCATATTATGGACTGCTTCATCTTCCCAGGCTAACAGGGGTCTCCTAAAACTGATATTCCAGTTGGAAGAGCTAATTTTCCTAACAATGAAGTCTAACAGAGACCCATCCTTATCAAAAGAAAGACTAAAAAGTCTAGGAAATTTAGACTGAAGGCAGTCAATCTCCACCTAGATATCCTTCCAAAAAGATATGTTGGCCCCATTACCAATAACTAATTCTAAGTTAGTCAGAAAGAAATTGAATAACGCAGGATTTTCTGAAGCAAGGCCCATAATGTCCTTCCAAATCCATGAACAAATAGTAATAGTGCCTTGAGAATGGAACCAGCTACTCGTTCTGGAACTTGCTGCAAATTAATCTTCTCCAAAGACTTGAAGAATTTACCTCAATAAAAGATAGGGTTTTGGCTGCTTCAACAAAATAGTTGCATTAGTAATTAGGAGCCAAGGAAACATGCTTAGTTACAATGTTGTTTCTTAAATTGAGCACCCAATCCATAGAAATATGTTCAATACATCTAAAATATTGTATTACGATCACCCTTAAAATGTCATATTACATGCCAAAAGGAAGCTATTCTTCATCACTTTTTTTTTCGCCTTCTTTTTGGAAAATGATAGACCTCCTTTTTTCAGTTGATATGAACATTCAACCGCTGTGCTACAATAGCTTAGGCTAATTATACTTATTTAATCACAGGTTCTCAAGCTGACAACCCAAAGTTGATTGCCATTTTCGTAGAATAAATGTATAGGTCCAGTATAACCAGTATTGTATAAATATGAAAGCAGCTTCAATTTTGTTCTGAGCTAGTTTAGATGATGTCCATGGACAAAAGGAAAGTCTTCAACCAAGATAAGACAAGAAAGGAAAGGGCAAAAAAGTGAAATGACAAGGAAAGAAAACGAAACAAAATAATAGTTATAATTACTATTTCAAAATATATTTTCGTATCAAAATTCTTACCGATCTCCCTTGGTTGGTAAAATAATTATGGCACGTGCCTTATTGGCTGCAGCTCTTTCAAATGATTTTGTTAAGCTCAAACTGCAGCTGTACAAGCAAAAGCTCAAACATGTAAGAAATAAAGTAAGGCTTTCCTTGTTCACAAGGAATAACAACAAAAATAATCGTATAGTAATGGTGGATAATGAGAGAGAAGGAATTGAGATAAGATTAGTGAACTTTCAACACTTTCACAATTTGTTTCCTCATTTTATTTTTCAGATAAGTAACCCTCTCGCCAACCATGAAACAGACAGCTCCAGAAATGAGTTCTACAAAAAAAGTTGCCTAGCAACTTCAAGTCATTATGATATCTGCCAAAAAATAGCACCAGCTCACACAAATTCAATATAGTACTACCAAAATTAACTTTCAAAATAATTCCTTTCATCACCCCTCCCCCATCTTTCCTCCAAGAAGATCAATAAATAACAACACATGAGTGTTTAAATAGTAAAATTATCTGTTTCCGTGGTAAGGGAGATGATATTTGGGTTTACTGCTAGTTTGGGTATGTTACGGACTAAGCTACCAAGAGCTGGAACAAGAGTGAGAGTCCAAGTGTGGATGTTACTAAAGTGTCACCTACTCTGCATCCAGAGCATCTACACATACACAAGTATAAGCATACATGTAATGAAATGTGTATATTTATCAATTTTTATGTTCAATGCTTAATATTTATATATATATATATTGTCACGTCAATAGAAACAGAAGGTTCGGTGGACAGTGCCTAGGATATTCATGCTGCAGTCCAGAGCATCTATGCTTACACAATTATAAACATACATGTAATGAGACATGTATATTTATCAATTTTTATGTTCAATACTTAATATATGTTTTGTTACGTCAAATAAAACGCAACGTTTAGAGTAGAAAGTTCCAAAAGCATATGGAAATATACACAAGCATATGCGCAATATATATATCATATATGTATGGAGGGTGGAGAAGTAAGTTTTTCTGTTTTATAGTCTACGCTCTATGCTATGATTAGAGGAAAAAATCTAAATGTCTAAGGTGTTAAGTCTCATGTTGGAAAGTACCCTAGAAGTGCCAGCTAAATAACTATATTAAAGACAACTCCAAGATAAGCCGGAGCTATTGTGAATTTGCAATATACATACCCCTTAGCACTGGCAATGAGACGTACACATACCTTTTTGTAAGGATATCGATATGATTGAGATCTTTGGCAATATTATCAGCTACCTTATCCATCTGCTTCCTTGGAAGATCAGACAAAAGAAGAATTCTCTGCTTCCTGCAGCATATATACATGCAAAGAGTCATTGAAACCAGTAGCTCACACTTATCTAATGTAGCATCTCTACTGAAAGCAAAAGAAACAATTACCTTGCAGTAGCAGTACCTAAGCGAACAGCAAACTCATGATACTTGTTTAACTGCTTCAGTATGAAGGCCAGGTGACTATTTACTCCACAAATAATGATATGGTCAGTCTCCAGGACTTGCATTTGCGCTCCATCTCTGAGTCTTTGCATATTATTCTGTCCAAAAAAAAAGTCAATAGGATGTTGTAGAGATGTAATTGACCTTTAGTACATGAAACCACTTCCAAGAGCTTACCCTGAACTGTTCTGTCATTGTGCTCAATAAACGAGAGTAGAACAGTATGCCCCATATAGCAAGAACAAACCCAAGAACACGCTCAACACGTGTTCTTTGCTGCAGCCCAATACAAAGAATATTTTGTGGTTGTATTAGTTACTGCTACTCACAAGTCACAAGTCACAATTGCTTTAGCTACATTAAAATAATGACATCTTAATCAAATGAGCAATGTTGAATTCCCAAAATAGTGTCGTACTTTCAAGTGAGTAGACGATGAACACAAGCATGCCCAAGCCTCCCATAAGCAGTCCTCCAGAGGTTGTGTATTATTCCTGTGTTATTTCAGCATGAATGTTGCAAGAGTCAATTAAGACAAGAACCAGACCTATTGACCATTGCAATTCAATATTTAATTAGCAGAAAAAATGGGAAGAAATATGCAACCCTGTTTTTAATACAGCAGAGTAGAGTGTTTTGAGAAAAAATTCAACTTTCTGACATCCCTTTAAATTATTAAAAAAAACAATAATAATAATAAATAAATAATCCAAGGCAAACTCCAGTTAAACAATCCCTTTAAATTTGTCATCAATGATTTGTCAGAGATCAATTACAAGGGAAAGACACCAATCAACACTAGTTAATTTCTTTGCCATATTCAAATTTTTTTTTTTTTTATATATATAAATAGAAAAGGAAAGATCTGAGTGAATGTCTGTCTAACAAGACATGCATACATAAATGAATAACTGGTAGCAAAATTGGGGACACTGAATACACAATAAGTTGCTCCATCACAAGTTGTCTCACATTCTGTAACTCATCTTCAAAATCTCATGAATAAAAGAAAATGTTAGGGCATATGAGACAACCAACTAGATATTCATCACATTCCAAAACATATTTTAAGAAAAATCATTCTGTATTCCTTCCTGACATTGACTTCAAACGTGAAAATTTTAACTGTGTAATAGATATAAAATACTTTATCTCTCTCTTAAAAATTCATAATTTCCAAAGAAGAGAGCAGTAGCATCAAATTATTTTCCAAAATGCCAAGTAGAATGCCACCTGAACTTGAAGAAGAGGAAACCACCAATGAGAACAAAGGAGAAGCATGCTGCAAGGAGCACAATAAAGAACCTGCAGAACCATCCAGGGAAAATAAAAAATAAAAAAAATGAGCCTATCAAGTAGGACACAACAACTGAAACTCAATGCTAGGTTGGGAGTGTCATCATAGTTGTTCCTTCAAAACATTCTCAGAAGTGGAATTCCTGCAAAAGTGATCTAGTGAGTTGAGCAATATCTTTGAATTTCCTGAAGGTAGATAAGAGTGGCAGAAATCTCACTTGTGGCACTTTTCAAATGTAAAACTTCTATATCTACATGATGACCAATGTTTATGACTTTGTGGCCAATATAAGTATATAGGACTTCAAATTGTAAAGATAATCCAACCTTTGTGGTCCCCAAACTGTTTGTTACACCAAATGGACCACTTGTAACACCAGTTTACCAGATCTTCAATAGTTACAACATCACCTCAGGGGAAGAAGATATTATTGATAGCAAAAGTTTCAACTGTCAACTTTTAGAAATTTGCCAGAATTCTATCTACTTTCTAGGAGGAATTGGAAACTCAACTGTCAACCTGAGGTCCATTAGAAACTTGCCGTAATGTGTCCATTTTCTAGGAAGGATTGAGGGCTCAAAACACTTTGGAATCGTACTAAGCTGGATATCTTTGCACTTTACACATTGATTCCCCTTTTTTTCTTTACAAAGAAAAAACACATACACACTTACAAATGGAGTCATATCCACTTGTGCTTGGCTTAAATTTTAGAGAGGGGTACAGTCAAGCATAAGGCTCTATGGTCATGTTTGATTCACAAAACTAATAGTGAAGTATCAATAGTCCTATTAAATTAGTGTGGTATTAACTATCCAATTGGATTAATAATCCCACCCCTACCCCATTACTAATAATCCTACAAATTTGTTGGATTAATTATCTATTGGATTAATAATCCTAAACCAAAATGTTAAAACAAACATAGGATAATTGGGTCCACGGATTAATAATCCCAATCCCATGTTCTAATTCACCCAATCAAACATGCCCTATTTGTTAACAATCGGGCACAGCACAAGGATAGTGAAGTACTGACTGATGCTGAAATACGTTTTAGTCCACCTTTCTCAATATCCAACAGTAACAAGAGCACTAGTCGAAAGGATACATAAAGACTTTGCCCTTGCTTATGGAAGAAAAAAGACAATAGACTCCATCATATTGCAATAACAAAATGCAACCATTAGCAAACCAACAAAGAAATGAGACAGCTCCATGCCTCTCCAAACCAAGACATTACAGGAGCCTATCTGGAAATGATAAAACAGTCTCAAAAAATTTAGTCCAACATGCTGCCAGAAACTTCAATGTTGTTTGGCCTTGGCTCTACTAAAGGGCAGTTGTAACCCTTTTTTCATTATTAAAGAGGGGAGAATGCCTAAATTTAAAAAATGAAAAATAAAGAAAAAGGACAGCACTGAAAAAGAAAATACAAAAATACTTCAAAAAAAGGTGAATCTCCCCAAAAAACATATATAAAAAAATAAAAATTAAATATCTATAAAAAACTGAAAAAAAAGAAGCTCTTGGTCTGCCATTTTAAGGATTTGTTCCATAGTATTGGTAAGTGGATGGACATAAAGCACTGCTAATGCAAGCAATCCTTTAAATGAAGACAGAATAGAAAAGAATGATTAAATTTTGTAAAATATAGTAAGTTCATGTGCTATCACATCATACTTCCCAGAGGAAGACACAATAGCAGATACTTCATACCGTAAAATATAGTAAGCGCATATGCTATCGCATCATACTTCTAGAGGAAGACAGAATAGCAGGTATTTCATACTGTAAAATATAGTAAGCTCATTTACTATCACATCATACTTCCCAGAGGAAGATAAAATAGCAGATATTTCATATTTTGACCGCAATGTCATTCAAATTCAATAATACCACATAAATAACATATCAATCGAAAGAAAAAAATCAAATCACATAAGAGCATTATCAGCTTCACTTACGTGGCAACATTCCTTTCAAGTTGGATGTTGAATAAATAAAGTAACCTTGCAAAACTCCACCCCATATCTTGCAATGAGGGCAAAGATACATCCAACCGAAGAGGTGTGGGTTTATCTGGGGAACTAGACATACAAGCGAAGGGCAAACTTGTGACTGCAACAGAGAAAAGTATATTTTGGGCCACTTTTATCAATCTATTCATGAAGTTTACTTGCATCATTCTGGAGAGCAAATAAGATGACGCAGATGCTATCAGGAGTTTAACATGAAGACCCTGCACATGCCACATTAAAATCAAACATGAACTTGCAATAAATATTTATTACTACTAGCAGCAACATTAACACAAATCAATATAGCAGCTAACACTTGAGGATATGCTCTTTTGTCTAAATATATGAAGTGTCCAAAATTCTTGACTAAATTAAATAGAACAAGGGTAGTAGTCTTGACTTTTGTATATCAAAGTCGATCGCACAAGGCAGAAGCAAACACAAGAGTGTGAAAATCGCTGCTGTTTCGTTTAGATCTTTTGGCGTAACTGGCTTCAAGGCAGAAACAGACTCAAAAGAAAGCGAAAAGACAAACAAAAAACAAGCAAGTGATGCCTGAGGTAACACCCCCGAAATCACCCGACTCCTATACAACAGGACTGACTCGATACAACAAGACAGACCCAACTGACTCAGTACGAAGAGACTGACTCAATGCAAAACAACAAAAAATGACCCCATACCCAAGTCAAAAAGTACAAAAACCAGCATTCGCAAATGTTCAAAACAGTGCGTGCCATACGCTATATCTGGAGTAAACTGAGCGCCGCCCGCAAGTGGTTCATCCCCCGATCATATCACACTATCCCCCAAGTTCACTGATCCAGTGACGATACACTTTGCTGAGCTTGGTGGGATAATGACCTCGTTGTCAAACAAATCCTGTACTTCGTAGCGAAGACGAAAGCAATTATCGGTGGTATGACCGGTTTGTTGATGGTAAGCACAGTACTGGGTAGCATCATGGGAGAGAGGGAGGTTGCTCGGGAGAGGCCGAGGCTCAAGGGGTTTGAGATGACCTTTTTCAACGAGGATTTGAAAAGCCTTGGACAAAGGCATATAGAGGGCATGGAAGACCCTGTGACCTCGGGGTAGATACTTCGAGGTTTGTGGATTTTTACTGGGTGCACTAGCAAAGGGGTCAGTAGGTGCTGGCTTGGTTTGCCGATTTCTTCCGAGTGCAGGATTAGAGCTTAAACAATCGTTTCTAGTACGACGGCCCTTCTCTCTGTTCTCCCCTTGCTTTGAACTGCTCTCATTTTGAGTGGCAAAAGTGTCATCCACATTTTTTACAGCAACTGCGAGCACTTGTTGTTTATTCAGTCCTTCGGCTTTCAAAGCCTCAACAACCCACAAAAGGTGTTCATAGGGATCAATGTCTACCCCTACCTTATTCTTTCCACTAGCTTCAGCTTGGTCGAAGGTTTGGGTTGCTACATCGGTGCGAAGCCCGGTTGTTGCCGACACATCATTGCCCAAATTTGGGATAGCTTCAGGTTGGCTGAGTTCAATTACAATTCACCCTAAGAGTGGGGGGTCTTCTGACGTGAAATTTCTGGCATGTGATGTAGTCGATGGCGGAGCCGATATTCCAAAGGCTAGATCAGCCACAGTCCTCTGAAGATCGTCGACCATTCCCATCAGCTCAAAAGTAGTAGGCTCGCAGATTTGAGATGATTGGGGTTCCAAGACTGCATGTGTGACAGGTGCCCCAAACGGGCATTGCATTTCAGCATCGGTCTTACCCTGCATGGTGATTCCTTGGTTTAAAGCCACCGTCATGACCACAATTTCTTCTGAACTCTGCGTCATCATGAGTCTGCTGAATTGAACAGAGGTGATGTAACTGGTGACTAACGGATCAGATGAACCGGTGAGCCTTGACTGGCCTTTCTCTACCTTGCCTCAGCAAAGAAAAACACTGGCTACTCTGAACTGAATCTCTGACCGGACAAAGTCTATCAACACAAGTCCAATGTACCCGGGGGATATTGGAGCCTTCTGAAGCTATAGTTCCACGACTACCCTAGCAAAAGAGAAAACAGACAACATCTCAGCCTGATTTCACTGGAATAGATATGAGCATAATTGAATGCCTCTACTGAATTCTGCCCAAAATTCTGCCTGTAAACTGTTACCCTCAGGTAAAACTGATTCTCTCAAAACTGATGCCCTCAGGCCTGATACCCAGACTTGCAATTGATACATACATCCTATAGAGGCACACTCTAAAAGCACATAGCAAGCAAGTGAGAGCCAAAACACCCGTATAAAGGGGCAGGGTTTCTCTGTCCTAGTTTCGTCAAGAACTAGGGTTTCACTACGCACACAGCGGTTTCAACAACCAATGATCGGGTAAGCAACCTGTCCTAGTTTGAAATGGTCACTACAGATTCCGATATGCACTAGGTCGAATTGTCGGAAAAGGTCCCCCGGTAACAACCGAGGTTTGTGTTCCTATCGTGGTAGAGCCCGTAACTGGTCGACCTTATGGCACGCGGCCTCAGGCAAACCGTTCAAGAATAGCAGACGACGAACACGGTGTCTTAGGCGCACCAATGCAAATGTAATGCAAAGAGATACATAAGTGTAAACAAAATAAGATATCATGAGTTCGAGTCAAGTTCTCTAAGTCCCCAGCAGAGTCGTCAGAAACTGTAGATGCGCCTGAACGTCCCGGGAAAATCCCGCTTTGTTCATTGGGCTTCACTACAGTTCGGACTCAAATGTCACAGTTCTGAATCTAATCTCGTAAAGTACAATGCACGACCGATAAATCACCAAAGAGTCCAAATCCGGCAGATCGTTTTAGAAAACTGATTTTTATAAAGAAGTGCCAAACATGGACTGCTTTACCAGATACAGAGTCGCCACCTAAATATTTTATTTTGGAAAATTTAGGAAACCCTAACTCGTGCCTAAGGCCACGTGTCTGTCATCACCAAAGTTTCTTCGGCTCGGGAACTTGGGTACGAGAGGGGAAGGTCATGCAATGAGCACCTCCGCTCGCCTGATCAAAGATCGGCCCTTACTAACATGATATCTTGTTTTTGAAAACACATGCGTTCTTATTCCGGTTTATTAGCCTAGAATTACTATGTGATGTGCACAACATACAAGTACAGACTAGATCGCCTAAATTGGAACAAAACATCTCAGGTTTGTTTGTTTGAAAATGGTTTGAAGGTGTTACTCGCAAGTAGGCTAAAACGTGGATTTGCCACCCTCAGGTGGGCTTAGAAAACATGATTTTGCCACTCTCAAGTGGGCTTAAAACTCGCATTTCAATGAATTGTTCCAATTCAAGCAATCCAACCTTCACCCACAGGCATTCAGGCAATTATATCACATAAGCAGTTAGCCTCATGGCAAACATGCTATCATGGCAGTCACTCACACACATGCAAGGATGCTAAAGTATAAACACTTACCAAGTACTCTGAGCCAAAACAGAAACTAGTTAATAATCAATGCATGATCCTAGTTTATGTTAAGATGGCTAATGCAAAATGCAACTAGAAATTGGCTCGGCTATTCTAAGATGTCATGTGAAATGCAACTTGATAATCATGTATTCAAATCGGTATTGAAATACAATGCAGTTAGCATGATGCGCCGAGCCCGGTGCATGCAATACAGATGAATGAATGCAAACATGGGAGCATAAGAATGCTAATCAAAATATGACCTAGAACTAACCATCAAAAGTAGGTAAGTAAAAGGGAGAAAGACGTGAAGTTGGAAGATATGCACACACTCACGCACACTTATTACAAAATTCGCCCTTTCGACGGAGGGTTCGAATGAATAACACAGAACCAACTAGCTAATCTAAGCTAATCTAATTAAACTAGTTATTACACACGAAATGATAACAAGCTACAGCTAATTATTACACAACTCTAATTAATCAACAAATTAACTAAGTAAGCAATTTAAATAAGCATGTAAACCAAATAAAATAGGCTGCCTTAGCTCTGCTTTGGATGACAAAGGATGCATGCATGCTCGAGTCGCCTTGTTCGGAAATCCCTCGCGACGCCCCGATTTGCCTCTGTTTGCAATTGATCTCAGAAACTTACACCAAGCTCCAGAGAGAAGAAACTCCGCCTTGGGAATCTGTAGGGATGCTGCCGACCAGATATTGGCCTTGGAGACCATCGGCCGACCACTTTTTGTGGTGAAAACCAGAAAAAGTGGTCGACCTGCCACTTTATCTGGTCGGCCGACCAGTTTTTGCTGCTGGTTTCTGGTTTTCTGCAACAGAGAGCAAGAAAGGGGCATGACAAAGTATTTGCAACACATATATGCATAACCACCCTCCCTATCATTACACCAGCTCAAGGGAGTATAGTTCTCGACCCTCGGGCCACCAATCACGTATCTCGATGCATGATGGCCAAGGAGCCAAATTGCACAACTCAATATGAAATGAATGCACACACGAACACATAAAGCCTAAAACTCCATCATGTATAGTCAAGAGTGTCGGCGACCGAGAATTGAGGCACGTTTCATCACTTCGAGTATGAAACGTCCCTCGTTTCCCGTGTTTGGACTAACTCCTATTCCAAATACAATGCAACAAAACATGGCATATACAATGCGGCTCCAGTATGCAAACATGCAATGCAATAAAACAAGCATGCAAACAATATGCAAGGGACAAGCATGTAAACATGCTGTGCAATGTAACTTAGCATACTCAACGCCAATGGCATGCACAATGCACAATGCTAAGAACCACATGGCCCACTCAATGCAATGTGACATGATTAACTTAACAAAGCTAATGACATGCAAATTATGCAAATGCATGCATACTCAATGCAAGACAACATAAGCATGAAACAATATGAACAACAACTAGCATACAAAATGCGAATGGACATGGCATACACAACGCAATGAACCATATGGAATACACAAAGCTCGATGGACTTAAACCAAAATGGACTGACCTCAGTCATGCCCAAATCAGTGGCCATAACACCAAGACTAAGGCATCAAAAGGCAAGACACACATGCACACATATTGGTCCACAAGCTAGGCAACAAGAACACAACCCTTAGGGGCACTCAAGGGGTGACAAAAGTGGAAGCATGGCAAGTCTATATGCTCTGAAATTACATGCAAAGTAAAGTCATATCATACAAATAGCTCAAATAAAGCATGCCAAGAGACTTGAAATACAAAGCTGGTCAAGGGCTTTACACTACAACCATACCAAGCATTGCTCAAATGACC